CATAGCAAGCAATACGTTTTTACAAATCTTAAATATTAAGAACATGTATAGGCTACCATTAGCCCAGTTACTTGCGTAGGCTAGTGTAACATGGAGACCGTGGTGTAAAATTGAGTATTTTTAGTTATTCCCATTAATCCTGTTTGCCATTTTAAAATGACAGTCTAAAAACCTTTTAAAAAAGCAATGCGCTCTTCTGATATTACTGAAGGTGCATTGTCTGGTTAAAGTCCAGTTTAGTGCTGCAGGTTCAAATCAACACAGTAATAAGTGCTGTAACAGTGGTATGTCCAAACACTCACAGCTGCAGGGCACGACACACTTCGGTCAACAGTCACATTCATTTAACACAAGTGACCTTTGTGAACGAAGAGAGCGGACTCTTCACTTAAGCACACTCCATTACGCGTGTTGGGGTCAAGAAAATATCAGCATTTAGTCTCCATCCGCTGTCGGAATGGCCATTCTGCCTTTAGCCCAATAAGATGCACACATGAATTTGTCATTTACTGATTAATTATAAATTGACACTCATATAAATGTGTGCGTGCGCGTAAACCCATGTTAGAAAGCTATTCTAATAGACTACATTATAAAGCGAAGATTGCTTTTAAATTTTCTTTGTTTAAAAAAATAGATATTGTAAGAGTCATGAAAAAAATAAGTAAGCCTAATAATAATAATGCAGTAAGCACTGGTGCTCATAATGTCGTATTGTATACAGACAATAAGTCAATTATTTTAAACCAAATGAGGTGTAGAAATGATGTAGTGTATGTATGAAATGTCTGTCATGTAACATTTTAAAAAATGAAATAAAAGAATATAGCCTACAGTTGGCCGATGAGAGCAAACAGATGCAGTGGATTTCAAGAAATAGCTAGTTATTTATATAGCTGACCAGTTTCCAATTGAATCTTTTGCGCACGCTCGCGCCTTAAATGATTTATTTCTGTATACCTGTGTTTCCTTTAAAGTGAAAAACTCTACAGCCTATAATACAAGCCATAAAGTCTGAATTGAGGCAAATATTGAGTCATACCTGAATATACTGTCTGTAGCAATATAGTAGCAATATAAAATATGTAGTTGTAACATATGCAACAATAAGAAATGTTACTTTTTTTAGGTATTCTGTTGCATGTTTGAATAAAAAGAATTAATGCAACAGTGGAAACCTAACAAGTCATTAGAGACTAGAACAAAACGTATACGGGTACTATCTGCTCTCCTTTTTATTCTATAACAGTGCCATTTTTCTCCTGTAACAAACTGCATATTGTTATCAGACATATTTTTAAAACATGATTGTACTTACACGCTTGTATTTTCCGTAGACCCAGAATCAGCTTTATTGAATTACAAGGGTTTTTTGCATCGGTTCCAGAAGCTTCAGTATACTTGGAGACAAATAGACACATGATAACAGAGTAACAGATCGCAGTCACAGAAAGATAAACCTATAGTGAGTTGCCATGTAAAGGTATGTTGCAAAATTGAAATGATAAATGCGCAAAGCCTACCTACTTTTACAAAGTTTCATATTTTGAATTGAATAAACCTCTTGCTCATTTTAAAAGGCTACACTCTAAAAAAAAAAATGCTGGGTGCTGGGTAAAATATGGACAAACCCAACAATTGGGTTGCTTTGACCCAGCGGTTGGGTTACTACCCAGAAGGTTGGGTTAAACATTTAATCAAACCGCTGGGTCAAAACAGCCCAATTGCTGGGTTTGTCCCTATTTTACCCAGCACTGGGTTGTATTTAACCCAGCATTTTTTAGAGTGTAATATTTTAGGCCAATGCTGAAACTATAGGCATAACTTAATTTATTTTAGGTTACTATAGGAACTCTGCAACCTATAGGCGAGACTCTGTCCCGCGCGCACTCAAGTGAGTTGCCATGTAAAGGTATGTTGCAAAATTGAAATGATAAATGCGCAAAGCCTACCTACTTTTACAAAGTTTCATATTTTGAATTGAATAAACCTCTTGCTCATTTTAAAAGGCTACACTCTAAAAAAAAATGCTGGGTGCTGGGTAAAATATGGACAAACCCAGTAATTGGGACACAAGTGACCTTTGTGAACGAAGAGAGCGGACTCTTCACTTAAACACACTCCATTACGCGTGAAAATATCAGCATTTAGTCTCCATCCGCTGTCGGAATGGCCATTCTGCCTTTAGCCCAATAAGATGCACACATGAATTTGTCATTTACTGATTAATTATAAATTGACACTCATATAAATGTGTGCGTGCGCGTAAACCCATGTTATAAAGTAATTCTAATAGACTACATTATAAAGCGAAGATTGCTTTTAAATTTTCTTTGTTTAAAAAAAATAGATATTGTAAGAGTCATGAAAACAATAAGTAAGCCTAATAATAATAATAATGCAGTAAGCACTGGTGCTCATAATGTCATATTGTATACAGACAATAAGTCAATTATTTTAAACCAAATGAGGTGTAGAAATGATGTAGTGTATGTATGAAATGTCTGTCATGTAACATTTTAAAAAATGAAATAAAAGAATATAGCCTACAGTTGGCCGATGAGAGCAAAACAGATGCAGTGGATTTCAAGAAATAGCTAGTTATTTACATAGCTGACCAGTTTCCAATTGAATCTTTTGCGCACGCTCGCGCCTTAAATGATTTATTTCTGTATACCTGTGTTTCTTTTAAAGTGGAAAACTCTACAGCCTATAATACAAGCCATAAAGTCTGAATTGAGGCAAATATTGAGTCATACCTGAATATACTGTCTGTAGCAATATAGTAGCAATATAAAATATGTAGTTGTAACATATGCAACAATAAGAAATGTTACTTTTTTTAGGTATTCTGTTGCATGTTTGAATAAAAAGAATTAATGCAACAGTGGAAACCTAACACAATTGGGTTGCTTTGACCCAGCGGTTGGGTTACTACCCAGAAGGTTGGGTTAAACATTTAATCAAACCGCTGGGTCAAAACAGCCCAATTGCTGGGTTTGTCCCTATTTTACCCAGCACTGGGTTGTATTTAACCCAGCATTTTTTAGAGTGTAATATTTTAGGCCAATGCTGAAACTATAGGCATAACTTAATTTATTTTAGGTTACTATAGGAACTCTGCAACCTATAGGCGAGACTCTGTCCCGCGCGCACTCAGCAAACCCTGGAAAGCTTGCGCGCAAGAGAGAGAGAAGCGCAGACAGGGAGCACGCGCCTGGGATTGTGATTGGTCGCTCGGCTGCCTGCTGCTGGAGTGACGTCACTGCAGGAGAGAACTGCCAGAGGAGGATGCATTTAGTCAGAAACTAGACTCTCTCAAGCTGGAGAGAGAGCACATCACATCCACAGCGCAGGAGGAAAGGGAATGAGACAATCGCATGCAGGTTACACTCGTGCGTGGTTCCATAAAGTAAACGTTGCATCTCCTCTCACGTCCATGCATGAACACTGTGAGCATGCTTTTCAAGGGAGGAATTCCCCATCTTGGAAATTAAACTGCCTGTTCCGTTCTCTGGATGGCTGAGGCGCAACATTCGATGGCTGAATCCTCAAGGACTGCGAGCTTTGAATGGAAAACGCATCGCTGAAGAGACGCACTGGAGAGTTGGGCTTTTGACTAGATGCGTCTGCGCTGCTCAGAGATTTCAGCGTCGTGTTCTTCAACGCGAGACGCACGGGAACCTCTATTTGTCCCCGACACACGGCCACTCGTAGCTTACTTTCTGACAGAGAGGAATATGCACGTCGATTGTTAAAAGTAAGATTTTTAAATGCTCTCAATTGTTTCTGCGTACTCGCATTTTTAAACGTGAATTTGGATCACTGAATTGTTTTGGCCACGATAACTCTTAGTAACTCAGTAGCCTATAAGTTGACTTTAATTGATAAATACATGCATATATGTAAAAATGCATGCATATATGTACGATCCTAACATTTGACGGGAATTGCTTATAACTGACCCCATGTGACAGACAAGGCCGTGTTCACTGGTAAGTGCATGTGGCCCTCTGTACTTTGTACACTCTCAGCAGGTGCATCGAGAATGTTTGGAACATTTTCGTGAAATATGTAGCGTGTGTATCGTTAACAGTAATATGAACAGGCGACATAGTAACTACACAACCTAAGAAGACATTTTTACAGTCGTTTTGGATTATATACACTATACACACTTGTATGGCTGCAGGGCTTTAGCCCTTTATTAACTTGATTGTGTAATTAGTGGCGTTTGATTTTGTTAAAGCAAGTTTATTGCACTACTCTTGTACGTATTTATATTTATAAATACAATTATATAGCTCTACATTTATTTAGGCTATTTGCGGACATTATAATGCATGCGTCTAGTTTTTATAATACAATATGCATAATTTGCATCACTTAGAAACAAGACCAAATGTAATTAACAATAGATTTAACTATATGAGGTCACATTTGCGTGAGGGAGACGTGGGTTCAGCTTGAGAAACAGCTTCATAGTTTGAAATATAGTCCTTGTTAAATAAAAATAATGCGAACATTATAAGCTATTTGGGTCTTATTTCTTAACTGCATCATTTTGGGGAGGAAAGGAAGATTTATATTAAACTGTGTGCTAAAAGGCCTTGCGGTTTGCGGAATCGTAACGCACGAAGTGAAGATGAAATGATGCATGGTGATGTAGGCATGTGGAGGTGTGATGACTGTCTGATTGTTGGGGCCTAACGAGCCAAATGAAATGGTTAGACCTAATAATCGTCATTTCTAAGGATTACTGGTGACCAGAAGGGACCAAATCCCTTTAAATCGGATTGATGAATGGAAAGCCTTACAATAACTCCAAAGACTCCATTTGAAACGCACCCACACCGCAACTTCAGGCCTAGACTATTGTGGATTATGTCTTCACCACTTGCTGGAGGTCTGGAGAACCTCATAAATCCATTCAACACTTGACTTGTTAACAGCATTTACAGGTCTATAAAAAAAGAGAGTGTAATTTGTGTATTGCGCATTAACCCTGTTTTCGTTCATCAGGTCGACTTTATGAGATGTTCCACATTTTAAAAAAAAAGTGTTGACAGGAGGTAGTTGCTATCTTTGGTTATCTAGCTGTATGAGTGTTTATCTGCCTTCATAAAGCTAGATAACCGAAAGTAGAAACGTCCTCCTTAACTGCATAGTGGACAAGTTGGGAAGCAATGATGGCAGGGAACTGCGTGAGGTAAGCAGGCCCTCTGCTCTGTGTGAATCATAGGAGCCCATTTAAACCACTGCTATGTCAGTAATACGATCGTGAGGATAGCTCACAAGTAGTTTCAGGCTGTCATTTTAAATGCACCTTCGGACAGGTGCACGTTTTTGGACTACTGCATCAATTTTGAAAATCTACTGTAGTGCCTTAGTTTAAAAAAAATCGAAAGGGACTATATTTAACTTGTGTTTGACTATATAAAAGAGCTACGATTTATTCTATTAATGCTTTTTTCTAAATATTAATAATTGATGTTGATTTACTCAGCTGTTTTTTTTTTTAAGTTATTATTTGACCAGTTCAGTCAGTGTTGGTTTTGATGTCAAAGGTTTGGTTTAGTCTGAGAAATAATGAAAAAGCTATGAGAAGAAATGTATTTGATAAAACATTTAAACGACAAAATTCCAAGGGAAAAATAAACGGCAAACGTTTACTTTTATTTAGGCTCACAATCAAATTAGGAACAACTAGTCGATCACTAATCGAAGATAAATGAGATGTGTTGAAAATCTCTCCTCTCAACACTCACACGATGACAAATAAGGATTTCTGAGATGATGAAAAGGTGAAATCGTTTTTGTCACATGTCCACAAAATGGCTTCCTTCGTGTTGGTTTTGATTTATCGACAAAAGGGCTTTAAAATATTAAGAATTCATATATAATCTGGACATTTTAAATCACTAAAGATTTTCTCTTTTTTTACAGTCTCTAGATATTTTTGACCACAGACTATCCTACATTTAAAACTTGAAAACTTGAAAATGATAAAAGCTGCATATTTAAGTAATTTGTTGTATACATTGCATTTTTTAACGCATCTTTAAACAACTTTGATATTGTGAACGTGACGTCATCGACCCATTCGCAGAGACAGCTATTAGGCAATGACGTCAAGCTGAAGCAGCTTCATTATGATTGGTCAGATTAATCTGGCTGTACACATCAAAGATGAAGGCATGAGGCGGAATCTAATGCGGAATGAAGGCGCTTTTTTTCTTTTATCCCTGTGGCTTTTTAGTGACATAAGACGTAATTGTGAGACACCAACCCTATAGTGGGCTACTGTAAAAATTGCTGAAAATTATGTAAATATTAGTAGAAAATGTTTAGATCTCAAAATCTTTAGAGGTGTAAGCGCCTTTGGAGCTTCGCGTCGCAGAACCACACACACACACACACACACACACACACACACACAGGTTTGTTTTTATGGTTTATGGGGACTCTCCATAGGCATAATGGTTTTTATACTGTACAGACCGTATGTTCTATTGCACTACACCAACCCTACCCCTCACAGGAAACTTTGTGCATTTTTAGATTTTCAAAAAACTTCATTCTGTATGATTTATAAGCTTTTGTACCCGTGGGGACCACAATTTAGGTCCCCACCGTGACACGAGTCCCCATGAGTCTGTGTGTAGTCAGGTTTAAGTCCCCACCGGGATATATAAACCTGTACACACACTCACACACACACCAGCCTGTGTGTTACGAACTCTTCAGTAAAGCATATATTAAAAATACTGTATCCTTAATTTATGATTATATTCAATATATTAAATAAATATTTATTATAGTGACACAATATTAGAAACCAAATGAAATTCCTGAAGCAATCACGAAAAAAAAAACCCATTGGCGTGTGCTTAAAATGTAGGTCAGTTTAATCTGAATTGGACTCAATTGCCTGGCTTATTAGTCTTTGTTTTACTGCTGTATGGATAATACAACTAAATACAACTAGATGCATACTTTTGTTTTCAGATACAGAAAGAAAAAAGTCTAAGCTTAGAATGGCAATTCAACTAAATGAAGAGAAGAGGAAATTATTGATAATTACAACTTGAAAAGAAAAAAACAACAACTAACAAAGAAACGATAGAGCACAAAAAAGAATACGTTTCATGAGCTGACTGAGCAGATTTTACATTCTCTATATTTGCCCCGTTAAAAATTTTTTTCACATGCCAAGTGTGATTTAAGGTGCGAATTCGGCTTTGCTTGAGCTTTTTAATTCAGTGTTCATTATCTGGCTGTCATTTATGTGTTTGTAAATTATATCAATAATTTAAATGTAAAACTGAAATATTCTGATTATTGTCTATTCCTGGTGTCTTTTATTACTTCAACTCACTGTAGGCTTCTCAAACTGCAGTGTCTTTGTGATAGACCAGAGGACTGGCACTAAGGGGGAAAACGGCATCTGGTAAGTGCAATCAAAGCGTATTACAATGCAACATTGTAATTAGAACAATTAGTTGCAGATTTAATCTGATTCAAACACACAGTAAATCATAAAGTATATGCTAATGAATTCATGCACTTGAAATGAGCCAAATGCAAATAGTAATCCCCAATCAAGTCCAAGACACTATATGCATGACATGAATCTTTCATCAGAAAATCTATATATCTGTATATATAATAATCTATATCTCTCCCTCTCTTGCCATATATATATGCATAGTCATAAAAAGCATCTGTTTATGGTTTTCTGACCTGACCTGTTTTCCTATTTTTGCATGTTTTTGCATCAGGCAGACATTGTGCAATTCACACAATATTAGCAAATGAATAAGAAAAGGGCTCGCTATGACTGTTAAACATAAAACATGATTATCTCATAATTATCTGTTAGACATTAAACATAATTATCTCGGGAAATATCCCTCAAAGCATCAGGCTTGACCTGTGTAAAAAGAACGAAAATAAATCTAAATCACAATATATTTCAACATGCCAAGGAATCTGCAGGACTGCAGGACATTAGGCCAAAGGCTTCAATGCGCTAAATGATCGGAGAGAGGATATTATATGTCTGTCTCCATCTCGATAATGATAAGAATGTATGGGCCACTATCACATTGCATATTACTTTATGTAAAATTAATGTGAGCAAAGAAATTCTGTCATCATTCATTAACAGTGATCTTTTCCAGCTAAACTGGTTACCTAGCACAATTGAATAACGGTTATTCAATGAAATTATGGGTGGACAGTAATTGATGTGGGCTGATTCATTATACCTTCACAGTGACCAATTGCACAGCTGGCTATGAGAGCACAAAAGCCGGACGTTCATGCCTTCGCATGATTCGTGTTGAGCTAACGCACAACTACTTACATTACTAATACCAGGGTTGTCTGAACGTGGTGAAGTTACTTAGCATGACACGAACAAGAAATTATAGTCACCTGATACTGTTTATATCATCCAAAGAAATAATATATAGCAGTTGCCATGACATCTGCTTTGGCAGTGATAAAAGGGGCTTTTTGTTCTTTATTTTCTTGTTTCCCCTTAGCAACTGCCAGCCATTTACACTGCCTTTTTGGAGCAAGAGGGAGAGAGGAAAAAAATGGCGCAATTGTCCAAATGAAAGAAAAGAAAAATAATAGTCAACCCTCATCCTTCTTCTACCAGCTCCCTTTGCCATGACATCTGCTTTGGCAGTGATAAAAGGGGCTTTTTGTCCTTTATTTTCGTGTTTCCCCTTAGCAACTGCCAGCCATTTACACTGCCTTTTTGGAGCAAGAGGGAGAGAGGAAAAAAATGGTGCAATTGTCCAAATGAAAGAAAAGAAAAATAATAGTCAACCCTCATCCTTCTTCTACCAGCTCCCCTCCCTTCTTCATCAACGGAAGCATTTAGTGCCATCTGTGCCCCAGGAGAAAAGAGGAAAAAAAGGAAGGAGTGAGACTCTACATCCCAAGTGCCAATGGGGACAAAGAGGCTGCCAGTTGCCACGGACCACCAGATGCTGGAAGACTGCAAGTCTGAATGAGGGGTGTGCTTTCAGGAAGCCATCTTGATGGAGAAGCTGGCTGCTGCTCCCTAAAATGGCTGTGTTGGCATGAGGTAAGCTGCATCGATGGCTATATCAGACTAGCTGCCGCGTTATTGTCTCAGATTTTAGCTCCGCCAGTGGTTGCCAGGTCGTTTGAAACGTAAAGCAAACGAATTGGGCGAATGCCTACACAAAACGTCTCTTAAAAACGAGTTTTGTGGTTGCTTTTTTGGCGGCGTGAGATTAGGCCCAAATCATTTTCTTTAAAAAGAGCTATCACGCTCTCATCTTTCCTGACTAATTAGAAAATATCCCCGTTATCTATATGCACACGCTCAGATATGCACAAAGACCTTCTGATTTGTAGCGAGCTTTGAAAGCAAATGAATCCCTCCTGCTGCTGTATACGTATTTTCAAATGGAAGAGAATGAAAGTAGCTATTAATTCGTGCTCTTACCCCATTAATTGAATGGAGGTTTGGTTATGTGTTATATAGGACAAAACCGTGCAACGAAATCCATGGCTCAATGACGACACAAAAATGACCACAGCAGATTTTCAGATGAAACCAAAAAGCGAGAGCTGCTTGAACTCACTCGAGAGACTAAGTTAATTGACATACGGCATCCTCTTGACCAAAGCAACAGAGTCAACCTGAACTGAAGAGCACTTTTGTTTCTGCTGCTTAATGATACACCAAATTACTGGCACGAAGGTGCCAAGTGCCCCTCACCAGCTTACAGTAGCACATACGCTGCCCTGCCCAACTTTAATGTTAGAAATAGGTCTGCAGGCTAATGATGTTTGGTGTCTTTTAAAACAGCCACAGTTTGTATCATTAGCTGGTCAAGAGGCGAGAGGTGCAAAACATCACATTGCTCACTCGGTTCACTCGGATGTTGCGTGGTAAATGGAAATTTACGCAGGCCGCCTGGTTGCAGAGAGCTGCGTGTTATGTCATTGAAATGGATGTAAGACACTGAAATGCACTTCACAAAGGTGACTGGTTGCATCATAATGGATTGCTGGTGATATGCAGAGCTGTGCTGGTGCATTTATTGCAGAAAATGATTAAAATAGGTGGAATACACAAACATATTTGCTCTAGGATGACAAATTTGCTTTGCTTTTGTGATGTTCCCAAAACAACACGAACGAATAGAGCGTAAATAATCAAAATACATTGAAATGCGAAGACGAGACAAATGATGCGTCATCTACTGAATATTTAAAGCCACTGAATCCCCCTCGTAATAACAGAAAACCGTTTTTGCATACTTACTGAGCGTGGAAACCCTGTGTGCCTAAAAGACATCCTTGTCCATAAATGAGCTTTTTTAAAAAGACTGACATTTTATCCTAAAAGAGGAGGCTTGGCAGAATAGCCCATCAAAAAAGACGTGTAAAAAAGATCACTGATGTACGGAAGGTGCCCGTGGAGCTTACAAATAAAGGAAACAATGATGCAAGTGCCTCTGTTAATGAAAAAGACCAGACAAGCTCTGCATATTAACATAATTGCATAGGAACAAGCAGAGAGGACTGAGCCCCCAATTAAAGGCACAGCGGCGCTTTGGCAAATGCACGTGGCAGCATTCTATATTTTGAATGTTTATGTTCAAATTTGAATGCCGTCTTTGATGCTTTCAAAGCAGAAAAAGACTTTGATGTTACTGTTGTGCTTGTGTTCAGTCTGCCTTTTTTTCTTGCAGAGAATTATACATGCATTCCAGAAATTTCCGGGGATAAATACACACACAAATATACAATGCAGAAATGTTTCCATTCTGAATGCAAAATATAATTTTTGCAATCTATATTAAGCAGGAGCATTTGCTTTCTCAGTTGTGCATATAAGAGACAAGAACAATCCATGTTCATATTTTTAAAAGAAATAGCCAGAGGTTTAATAATTTAGGGTGTTTTGTGAGCCTGTAATTAATTATAGAAAATTATTAAAAAGTATAAAAAATTAAGATTATACTACAACACAAAGCTACAGATTTCAGATTTAACACCACACATTTGTCTCAATAGATGTTATTATATTATTAATATATGGAAATGGTTTCTCCATCTACATACAAAAGAAAAAGAGATTTTTCAAGATGATACAAAACTGAGCATCTCTATTTGCGACCCAACACTCTGCATACATTTTAAACTCGTCCTTGGACAAAATAGTAGCCTAGAAATGAGAGACTGTACCTTTAATAGAGAATTTCTAATTAGGCTGTGTATCTTGCTGTGAGGGGGAGGGGTTTCCTCCTTCTGCATCTCTCAGGGTTTTATGTAAAAGACCTTCAATGTTTAAATATCTCTCATACAGACCCAAAACTCATTTTATACCCTTGATCAGAGAGTCTAATGCAATAGTGTTACACAACAACACTGCATTTGCCCAAATGGCGCATAATGATAGCACAACTGTAGATGGTTTAACAGTTTTTACAAATGTATAGAAGCAAGAATAAATGTTCACGTTCGCATTTGTGTGTGTGTGAGTATAAGCGGTCGAGCAGGGGGAGTGGATGCTTGTCAGAGCATAATGTGACTGCTGCAGAGCAGTGGCTGAAAAGTGTTAATTATGCCGCTTGGCACGGTGCCAAACCCATACCAGATTTTTCCAGTTTTCAATATGCAAATCATGCGCTGAACTGTGTATTGTTTTTGTGGTTTACCAGTTCTTTGTGTTTTCAGCCAAACAGAATGCGCACATGAGTATTTGAGTCAGAAAAACTAAATATTTGTTTTTTTCCTTTCTGCATCAAGCAAACACAAAAGCTATAGAATAATGCACAGCATTGCTAAGAAATAATTCCAGTCTAAATTCATACAAGCCTATGCATGAATGGAATTATTTGAAACAAAATCTAATAATTCAAATGTAAAAAAAAAAAGAAATTAAATCCTTAGCACATTTGGATTACTGTCTATAGCTCTCTCTGGTACCAGTCCAACGTAATGTGCTTTATGGAGTGGCATATGTAGATTTTAGGCATGGCTGTGATTATATTGTTTCATGGACTGAAAAGGGCAATTCCTTGAAATGTCTGGTGTCTGGCACAATAATCACTTCAACACAAGGTCATTTGCATGTGTGTGTATGATGAAAAATGTGTTTTCATGTCTGTGTGCAAGAAAGTCAATCAGTTTCAGAGTGTTTTTTTTTTTACACAAATTCAAGCATCAATAGCAATACCACAAATTATGATTTGTGATAAATAAGGAGCAAACTGTCAGCTGTAGTCTCTTTGTTGGTAAACAGTTTGATAGTGCCCACATTATTATTCCAGACCCCTCTCCTCTTCTACAATGGCAGCATTGTACGGCGAGTACTTGACGTGGGTCCGCAGTCCCCCCTGTTTCCCACCATTGTCTGAACGGATGGAGTGCCAGAGACAGTGGAGGGTAATAAGCTGAGAAAGATGCTCAGGCCCAGACAGAGCCAGATGCCTAAATTAGCACCAAAACCCTAAGAGACTATCCTCAGGGAACGGCTGAGGATGGGGCTTTATTTCTCAGGCTGCTTCGAGAGTGTGTTAGCAGCAATGTATGCTTGTGCGGTCAGGAATTGCGTGAGCATTTGCACAATCATGTGTGCTCGCGCAGTAGATGCACTCCTCTCTGTGACATATTTTTGCAGTGCCTGCTAGAGTATCGAGTTGTTATCAAGTTTAAATCGTTAAAGGTCAATGCTAATTGATTAATATGAGTGTGTATTCTAAAGTGTAGCATTTTATATTGTATATCTTTTGTCTTAGTGTGTGCAGTTTAATTATTTATTGTATTGTAATTATTGTTGGCTCTTTGACGAATTGCTTTTGTATCCAAAGCGACTTGGATTTGCAAGCATCTGCTAAATGCATAAATGTAATGTATTTGATGCATGATGTGCGTTGCAAAGTATTTATGAATCATAAAGTTCTGTGTATATATTAATGCATTTTGCATGTAAAATCACAAACAACTTGAGTGGAATTTGAAGGACAGTTTGTTCCTCGCCCCCTTCTGCTAGGGCACAGCAGTTGGGCAAGCAATTAATTAAAGCTCCATTACAATATATTGCCCAGTAAAATGGAGGCAGTGATACAGAAAACCACAGAGAAAGTTGAGTATAAGCGGTCGAGCAGGGGGAGTGGATGCTTGTCAGAGCATAATGTGACTGCTGCAGAGCGGTGGCTGAAAAGTGTTAATTATGCCGCTTGGCACGGTGCCAAACCCATACCAGATTTTTCCAGTTTTCAATATGCAAATCATGCGCTGAACTGTGTATTGTTTTTGTGGTTTACCAGTTCTTTGTGTTTTCAGTCAAACAGAATGCGCACATGAGTATTTGAGTCTGAAAAATGATTTTTTTTCTTTTTGCATAAAGCAAGCACAGAAACTAGAGAATAATGTACTGTAGTGCTGTGAAATAACTCCAGTCTAAATTCATACAAGCGTATATGCATGAATGGAATTATTTGAAATAAAATCTAATAATTCAAAGTTTTTACAAATTTTTTCAAATGACTGTCTATAGCTTTCTCTCTGGTAGCAGTCCAACATAATGTGCTTTATGGAGTGGCATATGTAGATTTTAGGCATGGCTGTGATTATATTGTTTCATGGACTGAAAAGGGCAATTCCTTGAAATGTCTGGTGTCTGGCACAATAATCACTTCAACACAAGGTCATTTGCATGTGTGTGTATGATGAAAAATGTGTTTTCATGTCTGTGTGCAAGAAAGTCAATCAGTTTCAGAGTTGTTATTTTTCTTCTCCTTACACATATTCAAGCATCAATAGCAATACCACAAATTATGATTTGTGATAAATAAGGAGCAAACTGTCAGCTGTAGTCTCTTTGTTGGTAAACAGTTTGATAGTGCCCACATTATTATTCCAGACCCCTCTCCTCTTCTACAATGGCAGCATTGTACGGCGAGTACTTGACGTGGGTCCGCAGTCCCCCCTGTTTCCCACCATTGTCTGAACGGATGGAGTGCCAGAGACAGTGGAGGGTAATAAGCTGAGAAAGATGCTCAGGCCCAGACAGAGCCAGATGCCTAAATTAGCACCAAAACC